TTGGTTTAAATATTCATCACTTTTAAGGCTTTTTAATATAAAATAAATGTTCTCAAAATATAATTTCTAAAATTCCGTACATTTCTTGAAAAACTCCCCACTTTTTCTGGTTTTTTCCTCTGCAATTTCGTGTTTTGCTCAAATTGTGGCCAGAATTCTGCAATTTAGCGGCTTTATGGCCGAGCTTCTGATTCGATCACGAACCCATAAAGCAAATACATATCTTAACTAAAAGCCAAATATGGAAAAACGCAAGATCTGTGTGAGCGGGGCGCGGCAGGTGCGGATTTTATTTTTGGCTTTCCCACGCCTCCCGAGGCGGTGTGTGTGCGAAGAGGCCTCCAGAGGGGGCGGCAGGCACTATTGTTTTGGGTGCAATCTGCCATCTCGGCAGTCGGCAGTTGGGAGTTGGGAGTCCACACTAACAAGCTGCAGTTCCACCTTTATTATTTTTAATTGGACTGATTTCCCGCTATAGATACATTTGTATCTGCGCGTGCGCAGCACCAACGTTGACATATGCGGCTCTCCGCCGCCGCACTCTCCAGTCCATCCAATCATCCTAGGCCATCATCCAATCATCCATCGAACGTCCGAAGAACAAGACGCGACTGTACGGCAGCTGGCCGGGAGCAGGAACCGGAGCAGAGTGGCGTTCGCAGATGCAGAAATGTACAAGATGACCGGGTGCAGCTGTGGCTCCTTTCCCGATTCCAAGGGTTGTCCTTCCGTGGCAGGCGGCGAGCGGCTGGCGGTTGACGGTTCACGGCTGATGGCAGTCGGCAGTCGGCGGGGTGGCTGCCACCAAATTTTCCCACGATTGCGTCAGCAGCAGCATCAGCTGCACTTTTGCGCGCAGTTTTTTTTCTCAGTTATCAGATGCAGAGAGAGAAAATTATATTATAAGTATTACTTTCCAGTAAATAGTAAACAGTAGTAAGGACTATTCTTGTTCTCTTAAATATCTAATATTTCCCTCCAATAAAAATTGTAATTAATTTACAAAACCTCCTAAAATTTCTCCAAGTGCATAATTTTTTCTTTCGACTTTTTTCCGCGATTGTGTTTTTTTGTTGTTGTTTTTTTTGCGTAGCTTGGTTAGTCCTGGTGTCTGAACAGTGTCCTTGGCTTAAACCGAGGCTGCCAGGGGCCGTGGCAAGCAGCAACCTCAATTAGGGGTTGTCATCCGCCAGGACTCGCTGACATACTGCGACATTGTGACGTCACAATGTGATTCACCGGCATTGTATAAACGATTGTGATATTTTTTGTTTGTGAGGATATTTGCATTCATCGTTGGCCGGGTGTTGTGAGGCAGTACTCGACGCCTTCCAGTCAGCGCACCTTTGTCCGCCGCTTGACTTGCCCCTGCCCCTGCCACAAAAGGATCTCGTTCTCTATTGACGGGAGCAACGCCTTCCTGCCACTCGGTTATCCAGATGGGTGTGAGATGGTAGTGTGTTTTGGCCATGGATTATAGCCAGATTAGGGGCCAGATTATTGTATCTCATTTCTTTCTCAAATTAAACTTATTAAAAATCTAATATACTCATCCATCAAGCCATTTGGAAATCCTATGATTATCTTATAAATCTGCATTTTTCATTTCTCAAAAAAAAAAGTAAATGGCTTAATTTATAGCTTTTTCGATTAGCGAAAATTTCAGTGGGCTGTCAAGCCGAAGATCAGCCAAAACTGTCATCGATCTTTCTCCGATTTTGGACTGGAAAACTGTCAAACGGCAGCCCCGTCGCCGAGTTGTTAATCAGCCAAATCAAAAGTGTGCCAGCCATTTAGACATTGTAGTCGGCTCAAGGATTTTGACAGCTAAGCTGACATGCAGAAAACCCGAGTGGCAGAAAGCCAGAAAAGAAACAGATTCATGGGGCAGGTTCAGATGGGGATTGTGGATGGCGGTGGAGGTGGAGGTGGTTGAGGTGGTGCAGATGGAGATGCAGGGAACAAAACACATGTCGTGTGTCTAAGAGTGCACGAGTATGACTGGCAAACCAGGTGAATATGCCAAGCTCAAGCCCAGTGCTCAAAATGCAATGAAACAATCAATCAAACCGCTGAAAGAGGCTTGTCGAGCTGTGAGCTATTGGTATACCTATAGCTGTATATATCTATATATAGTATTATGGTAGTACAGAGCACCGTATGGTCGGGCCGGGCCCGTCTAACGGTTGAGCTGCTCACAAAAGGCACAAAATCAAATTACCGGCAATGATTAATCAATCAGCACTGTGCCCCAGTCGAGATATAGAAACGAATATGAGGTTCATACGTCCAATTGCCATATGCAGGCCATACACAGGGAAAAAATTATGATAATTAGTAGATAACTTTAGTATAATTTGTACAAATATTATACCTTGAAGTTTAGATATATTTTTTGTGTAGTGTAGTCACAAGACTTGAACACGATCTTGCCGCCTCTGGCCTCGTCTGGACCCGCTGGTTGTGGGTGTGTTGCTTCTAGTGTGTGTGTTAGTGTTTTATTTTTGTGTGTAAGCTGGCCAAGTGGGTGCGTTCTCACAGCTGGATGCCCGGCGTCCAACTTTATGCCAAACTGCCAGCAAATCACGATCCAGCTCCAAGTCCAGTCCCCAGCAGCACACACCTGCAAACTCTCACTGGCCTCCAACCACCCACCCACCACCACTCTCCTCCACCCGACACTCCACCAGCTAAACACATCCACGTGTGCGTTCTGGCCGACAATCGGCATTACCAATACCAGATCCAGCTAAAAATCAAAGTCCCCACTGCGAGCTTCTTCCCAAAATGGTCTGGACGCGACGGCGATCGTGCCAAAAATGGGTTTGCAACTGGAATTCGCTTTTAGCCAACAAACATACTGGTGTGGAGACCAGATACCGAGCATCCATGGCACTGGAAGAAAAAAAGAAGACAAAGAACTATGAGAAAGTCTCAGAAGACTGCAAGAAGGTTGGCCTTTTCCCCCAGTGCACTTGGCCAGGAGTGCCTCCTCCTCTGGTCGATCTGCCAAACTCCAAAGTGCAGGTGGCGATTGGCCATAACCGAGAAGACCCAGACCAAAAGCCCAAAACCGAAAGACCAGCTGGTGTGAACAGCTAGAAAGTTTTAGAGCCGCGGTCTTGTCTGGATCCTAGTCGGATCCACTGATCGTGAGAATCAGTGCGGCAGACGCGAAATTTATTTGTGTGTTGGCCAAAACAAATGCCGCGTGATTTCAATTTATGGCCCTCTAATGAATATTTGACAAATAGCAAATGGGCAAGTTCGGTCGAGAGATCTCGTTGCGGCCAATAACATAGATCATGATCATGATCACTGCTGGAAAGGCACTTCCGTCAATTGATTGAAGTGGTCTGGCCTGGCATGGCCTGGTCTGGCCTGGTCTGTCCTATCCTGGCCTGGATGCATCTATAAACCAGGCAGATCTTTAGCCCGTGATCTCAAACAGTCTGTCAAAATCCGCATCAAGTTGTTCCCTGCTCCGATTTATGTCTGCTGGCTTTAGTCAAAGTCGTGACCTGCGAACATTGAACTCCCGGTGAACTGATCTGGTCTGGGATGCACTCAGAAAAGTATCTAAGAAATTGGTAACAAAAAAGATATATATCTGAGATGTAGACAATACTATAACTTGACTATCGATTGACCCTTTTTTTCCATAGTGTTAAAATAAACTATAAACCGTGATAGACTTACGGGTCTATAGTAATCCAATCTCACCTCGACTTCCATGGTTTTTTTTTTTTTGCAATTCATAGGGCCCAAAGGCAGCGCCACACATTTTAGCGAAATGAATTTGCAATCCGCCAGCACGAAGTGTAATTTTGAACCGGGCAGCCCAAAAGTATTATTACTGTGGGAGCTGTTCAGCATAATATAATGAAGCCATTGCCAGGGGCAGACCACTAACAAAAACAAGAAGGAAACCCAAAGAGACCAGGGCCCATTGTCAATCATTTTCGAGTTGATTTTCCCACATTTTATGCCCCGGTGATCGCGTTTTGGTTCGACTCCTCATGGGAAAATCACTGAGTTGGCTTCGCCTTGTTGCGCAACAATTATCTAGCATAGGTTTGTCTTACTCTATGTCCATGGAACCATGGAGGTTCCTCCAGAGTCCAGAGTAAGATAGTCAACCCCCACGCATGCAACACCTTCTGTAAAGTTGCGCTCTGATGCACCCCCTACATGGAAATGGGAAAGCAGCCAAGTCACTATCGGCCACTTCACTGTGGGGTTGAAAGTTGCATCTTGCAGCTACTACTGTTTTGGGTTTTCACGGTTATTATCTAGGCCAGAACGGAAGTGCGGTAGAGCTGCTCTTCTTGAGACATTCTACGACGCACCTCGGCTGACCGACCTTTTCACACGTTTGTCCAGGTGCGCGCAGGTGTCTCCAACTGAAAAGATGCCAAAAAATTCCATAAAATACGAGTATGGTAATTTTAATTTTAACATTTGAACGGAAATTAATTTCAGAGGCAGTTTGCTTGACACGCTTGATTAGACTGATATGGTTAATGAGCTTCAAATTAGAATTAAAACGGCTCAAATTTTTTAGAGGTTTTTTATATAATATTATTATAATATATATTTTATATATACATCTCTTATTTCTAATACAATAACAGTGTTTAAAAATTGTACAGGGAAGTAAATGCTAATAAATAAGGATCTTCTAATCCTGATCCTAACCCTTCTAGAAACTAGGTTCTAATTTAAATAATTTTTAAAAATCTAATCAAATTATCATGTCCCTTTCCGCAAATCATATATAATTTTAAAATGCAAGCCAAGACAATAAATAAAAAACTATTTTTATATTTTTTAAAAATTCGAATTTCGATAACGCCACCTAGCGTCTTTGAACTTGAAACAATAGATCTTGCTCTACACGTCAGATGGCGCCAGCTTGTATAGTTTAATTCATGCAGTGTTACCATAATCAAAGTTACATGAACCCCCCAAAGAAACAGTACAATCTTTTAGAATCGATATCTATATATATATATAATCGATACAGAAATAACAGCTGTTTTGGATCATTTGATACATTTTCATAATGAAAGGAAAAATTTCGGATTGCAAAATGGATTTTAAACGTGAGATACATAGATATAACTTCAATCTTGAAGAACGAAATAAATGTATTATTATTACCGTTAGAAACAAAGGAAGACAGAAAGTGGACGGACGACAACACTTTTCTGATGTTGTCGCTATATTCTGAAAGAAAGAACAAGTTTCGGAAGGGTAAAAAAAACAAATGGATATGGGAGGAAATCGCCAACGAACTGAAGCACCATGGAATGGATATCGACACCGTGCAACTGGATCGAAAATTTAGAAACCTTAAGAAAACCTATGAATACGTTCAGAAAAGGCAGAAAGGGAACAAAAGACCGCATGATGTAAAATGGCGATTCTACAACGAGATGGAGGGCCTGCTGCAGGTTGACCCAGAAGCTGAGGAAGAGGAGAATGAGGAATCGGAGTCGTCCTATAGTCATTTGCCTAGCATGGAATGCTCTAAAGAAGAGCCCATGAGCCCCCCTCCACCTATACGCATACGTCTAGCTCCTCAAAGAAAACCCCAACGTCTCAATAGAACGTTTCCGGATGAATCGCTTTGCCAAGAAGAAGAAGGTCAATCTTGCAGAGATGAGATATCCATCGACACGCGAGAAGAGGCCTTGAGACACTTGCGGGCACTTCAGGAATACGCCATGATCCAGGATAACTTCCGGGCCATTGGGCTTCTAATGCAGGCAGAACAGGCCATCGAGTACCCGCCTAGCAGTAAAGATTTTGAAGCATAGTCAATACAAAATAGAAATTTTAATTTATTTAGAGATATTTAATTATACCCTTATGTATTGTATAAAGCTGATCAATGTAAACTTTTTGTATTTTAGTAACGACTTTAATAAAATCAAGATTGACTATTTTAAAATTAAAGATTTTAACTGCCTATCGATAACGGTCCATAAAAACAGGGTGGCAACAATAACCAACATAACTGGCAGCACTTGAAAGTGTTTACGTTTATAAAAGGTGTTGCAAGAAGCAGGCATTTATTTGTTTACATTTTCTTGAAAGACTAATCTGATGTTCCCTCCAAGAAGGATGTCCAAAATCATCAACAACCATGTAAAGTGGAACTATCCTTGAAGAAAGTGAAGCGCGCTAGGATACAAATGAATAATAAGACCGACTATCCTGTTATCAATAGTAAGTGGTTTGCTTTTCCTTTAACATAACTCTAGCTTGGGCTTTTTCCGTATTTTGTTCAATAAGACTCTTCTCTTCCAAGAAAGATAGTTTTGTTGTGTTTTCCTGAAAATGATAATAATGCAAAAGGGTATTAATCAAATTGGAGAACAATGCGGCGTCAATAAAAGCCATCATGTCATCCACAGTTGATTTAAATATGGAGGTGAAGAGGTCTTGATAAGCCAAAATATAAAAACTATATTTTTTATAATGTTATAATTTTCAGAAGAACGTTGCCACGGAAGAGTGGACTCCCTAATATCTTCGTTAATCCTACGAAAAAGATTCCGGGTTCAGATTACGGAAAGAGAATCCATCCACTGAAAAGAGATTGTTGCTCTCTCGTATCGTGGTCGCGAGATGTTTCTCATCAAACTGGTTTTTCAGCAGGCTAGAGAGAGGAACCCACCGACCCATTGCAAGTCGACGTTCGCATGATTTTAATCATCGATGGGCTTGTTTTTAGTTTCCATCCGTTCGGCCGAGTAGTGTGTTTATGTGCCTAAAAACCTGCTGCATATTTGGGAAAAGTGCGATCCTATAGTCCGACAAGTAAGTCCGGTTAACCTATGGATGAATATCTTTTTCTATATAAGAAAAATACATTTTCGTTCTTTTCAATAGGGTCGTATTTGCTCCCATTATCCGTAGGCCATAGCCATTTCAACGGAGAGCAAGCTAAGATAGAGAGCGTGAGGCCTGGAAAGAGCGACTATTTTTGGACGGAGAGAGCTAACCGTAAAAATGTACTCTGAGGTAAGTACCCTCTCTTTGGTTTATTTACAAATTTTAATTTTTTGAATGATTCTTTACGATAGGAGGGCGGATGTACGCTATACGGGACACGCTAAAATTGAACTTGGAGAAACGCTGGTTTAAGAATAAAAGGAAAAGAGTCACCAAACGAACTATATAAGAGAGCAATAAGAGCCAGTCGCACTTTGCGTTTTAATCGAATCAGGTCTATGTTGCTCTGTTTACAACGTACACTGCAAACAACTTACCATATAAGCAGAACATAAGCATAAATCATAGTTCAACATTTGGATAATGGAATAATAATATCAGGAATAATGTCGAAATCAAGTATTGAACGTGTCCGGAAGTTAAGAGCAAAGAAAAGAGAAGTCATCCCACAATTGCCTCCAAATGTGACTTTGAAGACGCTTAAGGATCCCAGTACAAATATCCATAACACAAACGAGGTATGTGTGGCGTAGGCCATAGAACTAGTCATCTGGATTTTTTGACCAAATCAATTATTATCCATAGAGGATTATATAAGAATTATATACATAGTTGATGCTTATATTTAGCGGAAAAATGACGGAGAAGTTTGAGACCCTTATCTTTGCAAAAAACTTTAAATGCCAATTGCAGTGCGTAATTTGCAAAATGGTTTTTCTTGGTAACAGAAAATTCAATCGTGTGCGACACATCCGATTATGCCATAGGGATATCGTGAATGGATTGATTCCAGACCACAAAGCCTTTCTTCAACAATTTTACAGCGATGATGCTGAAGAAATCCTTCAATATATAGTACATAATGTTGAAGAAATTTACATACAGGAAAATAAAATTATTTTAACTGAGGACTTAAATAGTAAAGGGGAAATAAAAGAATCGTATGCAGCCAGCTTAGCTATTGCCAAACATTGTAAGCCCCTATGCGATGGCCCTTTTATTATAAAGGTAATACAACTACATATTTCTTTTCTCTTAGTGAAATTCTTGAAACACACTGATATAAGTAGTTTTCTTATTCTTATTTAGATTAATATTAAGATTACCCTGATTATCTTGACCCATTTAATTAATAACCCGTTTGCACTTTCAATTCTAGGATAGTAAGGGCCCGCCCGAAAAAGGCGCATCGAAATCCGCCTCCCCCTCCGACTCCAATCGTGTACGTAATATACTTACCCTTGAGGAGCGTGTAGCTGTCATCAGTCAATATGATATTGCTCCCATGTACAGCAAGATTGCTAAAAACTTCAACTGCAGCTGGGAGCAGATAAAAAATATAGTAGCCAACCGTGACTCCATATTGAAGTTTCATGAGGCGGCGACTAAGTTGAAATCGAAGCCTATCGAAGATGTCACCCTCCGAAGAAATAAGTTGAATTTTCTGGGCAACTGCTTATATGAATATATCCAAAGAGCTCAGTACTATCTGAACACCGAAATCACTGAAGAATTTCTTCGCAACAAGGCCCTAGAATTCCGCTCTCTCTTCAAGCTGGAGGGATTCGTGCCGAACAAATCTTGGCTGAATCACTTCAAAGCCAAGTATAATATTTCTCTCTCCAATCGGCAAATTGCGTTGAACCGGCGGCCACCGCGATCGCTGAATCTCAAAGATATAATGTCTTACTGTAGTCGCAATAAATTCGTTCTTCCAAGCACATTGCTTCAAACTCCAAATTCCTCATCTGAAGCTTCATCATCGGTAAGCGATCGGCCATTATACCGCACCAAAACCCTAATGGAAGCCTCTAGTCAAAATCAGGCCACCTGTGATGAAGTCCTGACGCAAAGGAGGCGGAAGATTAATTTTCTCGAAAAGTGCCTCTACGAGTACACAGAAAGGTGGGAGGTTCATAAACAGGGAGGAAGGATCGACATCGACAACTTACGGACCGTGGCCATTAATTTGAAGGATATCCTTAAGATTGAAAACTTCATTCCGGACAAAATGTGGTTAAACCACTTTAAGAGCCACTATGGTTTCAGTTTCTCTGTCGGTGTACAACCGACTAATCGAGTGCGCTTGTCCCTGGATCTCTGGGATATAGTCAGCTACTGTAGCAGATACGATGCGCCAAGGCTAACTGTAGCCATTAAGAATTCGGAAGCTCCAATCCCATCTGAGGATACAGAAAAAGGAAACAACTTCTGTAAGGATGCAGAAGAAGGAAACAACTTCTGTGAGGATGCAGAAGAAGAAAACAACCTCTGTGAGAATGCAGAAGATGAAAACAACTTCAGTGAGGATTCAGAAGAAGGAAACAACTTCTGTGAGGATGCAGAAGGACACAAGGAAACAGATAAAGATTATGATGACTCCGTGACGGTGGAGATAAAAGAGGAATTTATAGATATCAAAGACGAGGATGACGGTTGGATGGAGGACGACAACCAGATCTCAGCACAAGCCGCCAAGCGAAATATGGAAGATAATATTGCTCCCTGTCCCTTAAAGATACAAAAGATTCAGTCACTTCATGAAATTGATTCAATTGAAAAAGAATTCCCATCAGCCCCCAGTCCCGGTCACTATTCCGAAACTAGTGACGAGGCCCACCTACCAACCTGCGTCGAGAACTACAAAGATGCACTTCGTCTACTGAAGCCTTTGGAGGAATTCGTTCTGATGGAAGAAAATTATCGCGCCATCGGTCTAATCACACAGTTGGAACAAATATTCGAGTCTATGGCAAAAAAAGAAAACAGATGAAAAAAAATTAAAATTTTTGCATTTTAATTTACATAATTGTTATTAAAAATTAATTAAAATAAAAAACTGTTGAAATAAGAAATTGTATTATTTAATTTCATACTACATTTATAAAATTGTTTTCATTGAATAACTATTAGAAAAACAGGATTTTCTCACTGACCATGTGGATCATACCTACCAGTGTTGGAAACTGGTTCATAAAATGAAGCTTTCTATCGAAAATCGAAAATCTTCTCGACCTTCTTTCCATCCCTAAACCGAAAGGTAAGAACACGTGCCGGAAAATTTTCTTTAGAAATTACTTAAATAGGACTAACCAAATGGGAGACGCTGTGAACCATAAAATATCCGAAGATAAAAAAGCCAAAGATGTTGGAGTCTTTCAAGGACGTAGTTCCAAATTAGACGAGGAGGATCAAATTCCATTCCATGGATCTGCCTTGTCCGAAAAGGCTCTGCAGCGTCAGAGAAAGCTTGTTTTTCTTGAAATATGCATTTGCGAGTACATTGTTCGTTCGCATGTTCATTATAAAGTAAAGTCCTTTTATTCAAAAAGTATGCTTACTGTGGCCATAAAGTTGACGTATATGCTGGAGATCGAGAGCTTCTTTCCGGATATGGAGTTGATAGATGCCATGTTGATGAAGTTCACCAAGGGCGTGGTTCCAGTGAAGACCCGCAAGATTCCCGCCTCTCTGGATCTTCGCGATATAGTCGCCTATTGTGGAAACCACGGGCAAATAGCGGTTCTTGAGAAGGATCCCGAATCTTCTGGCAATGATGTCGTGGTTATCGAAATCATCAATGATAATACGCCGCCTGTATTCAAATTTGGCGAGGCACCTGAACCCAGTACTACATCGAAACCAAATAAGAAACGACCCATTAAGGAATGTACCGTCGAACCCGAAATGTCAGCCATTCTCTCTAATAAGGATGCGTTGCGTCGTCTTAAGCCGTTGAAGAAGTTCGCTTTAGCGGAAGAAAACCATCCTGCTTTCAAACTGCTCACGCAGCTTGACAAGATCTTTGCCAAACCTGGAAAGAATGATAAATAAATGAAAATACCAGGTAAGGGTACGACTTGGTAGTTGCAAGAGAACTAGTAAGCTTTAACATTTCTTTATTGCAGAATCTCAAGCTACAATGCGTAATGGATCTCGGATATCCGGGATTTCTTTATTGCAGAATCTCAACCTACAATGCATAATGGATCTCAAAGACTCGAAGGAAAGACTCAAAGTATTCCCAGTACAATATAAAACCAAATGTTCTCACTATTGTATAATTGTTTTATAGATCTCATATTTTTTTATTGAGGTTTAACTTAAAGTTAATGAAGTTGAAGATATTATTTTTGAAAAATAAAACAGCTTTATTAAAATGACATATTAGATCTAAACAGTATCTGTTATAATTCAAAGAATAATGTAATTATGCACTCCATCTTATTAATCCTAAAAGATTGATGAACCAAATATATTGTATTGTAAAATTATTGTCCAAAATTAATTTCCTAATGGGGATATATCGGAGAAAAAATCATCCCCTAAGCCTTTGCTGAACTTTTTTTTGAGCGCCCTTCATTTCGTCCTTTGTTCCGTTGAGAAACGCAATCATCGCTGAAACTTAATGTCCGTCCTTCAAAACTTTAGGTGCCCTGCCCATCGAGGGGTCATGGGACATGGGGCGGATGGAATGGAGCTGGAGAGCGGGATGACCTGCGGCGGGGGAAGTTAAAGTTGAACGTGCGTGTAGGTGAACTTCCGAGAGCTGGAGCCGGGCTCCATAGGTGCTACATCAATTGTAGATGGGTTGGGCAGCCGGAGGTGGAGCGACGAAGGGTGAAATCGAGAAGCGGATGCCAGCAGCTCGCCCTACCATTGAGGAGGGACCTTGTGGTGCCACGAGGTGGTCACGCACACATACAACTTGTATATGCTGGGAAAAAATAGTTTTCAATATCAATTATATGGGGAATATTGGTATGGTTTCAAAATGAGAGCCAGACTCCTTGTAATAGTTTGTATCTAACCTTAGAAATAATGTATAAACATTTAACATGGTACTTTTAATTTAAAAATATTTTTAATATTTAGGTTTTCAGTGTGTTTTTCAGATAGCTGGACCGCTGGAAACATCGCTAAAGCTATGGCGGCAAAGTTTCGTCTGACGCTTGCAACCCCCCAGGGCAGGAGGAACTGAAGTACCAGAACCGACAGAAGCTGGCGCAGCAGCAGCATCAGCAGCTACTGCAAGACTTTCGTTTCAAGGATTTCCGACCGACGTCAGACTCAACTGATGGCTGCGACTATAGCTCTTGTAGGACGTGCAATTCGATGTGGAAAACCTACGAGTGTAGGGTTAGGTTCGCCGGAAGCTCAACGGGACGTGTCGGGGGCTTCACCGATAAAGGTGGAAGAAGCAACATCAATGCAAACACCACAACAACACCAATAGCATCAGTGGCAGGGACAGCAACAAAGTTGAGAATGGCCCGACTTTGGCTCAGGTTACTGCCACACGGCTGCGCCCCAAAACAAAAATGGAAACCCCAGCGCGTTAAGAGCTCTGACATAAAACCCTGAAAGCGAAATTGCCATTGAGGGATATAAGAGCAAAGGGACAGACTATATATGTATACCTCAGCAGTTACCATAGTCCCTTCCCGCGCCACCCTGCCAGGTCGAGTGTTTCGCTGGGGTTCTGTATATGGTACAGTTCATGTGCCATCACAGGGACGGAAGATGTTCAACCGGAGGGCATGTAATGATGTACAATAGGATACGGCGAAGGCAGGGTTTTTTCCAGCTTTCGATATATATATACGTATATACAAAAAGTTTGCGATCGATGAGATTGCAAAAGCACAATTCAATTACTTTTTTCAAAAGGAATTTCGTCAATCATACAATCATGATGATTTTGAATTTTCAGAGTTAATGTTTTTGGAATAATATTTTCAATTCATATTTAATTTAATTTTTTTCCCCTGGAGGATTTTTTTATCAAATAACCATGACTTTTAATTTTTGTGGTTCAATATATATTAAATAGGAAAAAATGAACTTGAAGTATTTTAATTTTCTCAAAGCTTTCTTAAGTAATGAGTCGAATGATAAACGTTTTATTTCATCCCTGTCCCTAGAGAAAAGTTATCCTTGTTTTCAAGGATTCTCCATAAGGCGTAGCTTTTTATTTATATTCGAGCCGTGAGCCCTGGGGTCTTTCCTATTTATGGTTTTTATATAGCGCTTCTAGATATAACTTTTTTATTGGGCCAGAATTGTAGTATCCCAGATGTACATTTTATAAATGAGGGTGGCCATGCCGTGACTAACTGCCATGCCATATCCCTTGAAGTTTATTGGCAAAATTTTATCATCTATACTTAAAATATAGGAAGAAGGATTACTCTCCTATGGAATTAAATTGTCTTTTGCTTTAAGTATTAAATTCTTTGGGAAAATATTAAATTCCATTTGGATTAGCAGGAATTTGTAGTCATCTCAATCGTAATTGGTGCCAAACCTGTAACTGTATTGAACGATTTATTTTACTTATATACATGTAGCATTTAGCTGACTCTGTTGCATATATAATATTGATTCTTTCATCATCCCAGACTCACCCAAGCGACCCCTTTAATCACCGAACATATAAAAGTGCGATGCCATAATCGTTGTCATTGTATGCCAAATATGAATGGCTCACCACTCGCCTAGCGCCAAAACTGTAGACCCAACCAGAGGCCCCTTTTCCCCTCCAATCGAGCTGCGAGGTTATCGTGTATAGCGACGACTCTACGGAATACCCGTTCATCTAGAGTGCAGATATAGAGGCTGCAGGCCGCCGATACAGATACAGATGCAGATACAAGGCGAACGGAAAACGTGAGAAACGACAGATTGATGTTGATGGCAGCGAAACAAGTCTCAGGCTCTGGTTCTGGTCTTTAGCTTTAAACTCGTACTTCTTATTTGGGTTGGTCGGCAGTGCGGCATTAAGCCTCTTGGCAATGCTTCAATTCCTTTCCATTCCACAAACATGGGCAGACGATGACGATGGCCCTTGAGTCGGCAGGTTCTAAAAATTATTTTAAAAAAGGCTTGGCAAGGGCTTCAGATTAGCATCTATCTGAACTGTGCAAAAAAAAAAAAAAGGTTCAAGAGATTCCTGTTGGAACCAATAAAACTGAGTATACAGAAAAGTTGTTGACCCTTTTTTTGATGAAATTCTTAAGTTGTAGGGTTTCTTCTCCTTTGTCAAAAATTCAATCACCTGTCGTTTCCACAGGACCAACAGGTCCAAGCGATGAAAACAACTTATATTTATTCTTTTTTATAAGAATTGTTACTTTACTTATTTATTTATTTATAAAGCAAAAATATACATATGTATTTTCTTTGAATAAAAAAATGTCTATATACACATTTTCTTTCGGTTTTTTTTTTGGAAAAACTCCCCCTGTTTTGATTTAATTTCACACATCATCAGTTACCATGGCAAAAAGCCATGAAAAACGCTTGGAAATGCTTCAACACCCTCCGTACATACCGTCTATAAGATCAAAAGCGATTGGGGGAACTTCCTAAACAACTATTTTGAGAATAAGGATAACAGACCATTTCTGCAAGGGTTGAAACTCTGGGTTCCGGAGCTAAAGAAAACGTTTTTGTCTCCAAATTGATTGGGAATTCGTTTTATGAAATGTGTTTATTTCTCGAACAAAGGGACACTTCATGAAATAGCTGAAAACCATTAAAGCTGGCAGGAGGGGTTTTCCAAATTGGATTAGATTAGTTTTCGAAAACACTATTTCATGTTTGTTTTGGATTTAAGAACAAATTTTGTTTGAAAGGAAAGCTAACTTTGGGCGGAGTCGAATATGATATACACTTGCTTGAAGGGGATATTGATTACCCTATAGTTCTCAGACTAAGCTGCCCAAGTTAGTATTTTAAAAAGGCAAATTATTAGTAGGCTTAGACATTTGA